ATTTGTAGCTTAGCAAAGTCGTACTAAAACATTTGACAGATTTTTGAGCGCCGTGTACATAAAATCATTTCGAGGTCAGTAAACACAACCAGAATTCATACATAAGGCACACGGGATTATAAGGGGCACTGTCAATTTTCAGAAAAATCGAAGAATTGATTTTAAGTGTGCCGTATTTTCCAAAAAACGCGGTAATAACGAAGGTCCGCTAGCATGCTCTACCAAAATTAGTGCTTTGTTGTGTATCTGATGGACGAAAGCTAAACCAGTTCATCACCACTGAAATTGCAGCATTTTTATAAAGCAATTCTGGTTCATCCGTTTCATTCAACAATCCGCTTTCGCCCTTCTCACTCTCTGTCGCCGGCACGCTTTTTCCGCCATGTGCATATGAAAACAAAGGCACTGCCATTGCGCGTTTTACAATTCATCAGCAATTCATCCACCAGGAATTTACTGTCATCTGTGATTCCTTGTATTGATGCTAAGATTATGATTGATGCTACAATTATTATTGTAGCTTCATTTCTAGAGAAGTACATGTGTGGTTATGGCGTAGGTTACACTGTAGTGTTTCAGAGGGGTTTGTGGTTACAGCTATGATGTAGACTTTCTGGAGAAACTGGCTGGGATTGAGTTGTTAAGAAAACTTTTGATTGTCAAACCTGTCCCCTAATTTTCTTCTGAGTAAGAAAAAATGCATCTGATGCTTGTGATTCATTGTTCCACTCCCTGCTGCTGTATGTAAAATGTTTTAATGGCAGTAAAATAGTTTCCAGCCACATAACTGAGGTCAGAGGTAATGCGTTAATGCTTTTTTTTCCTCGCCCCCTGCAGGACCCTATTAGGGGCCGACCGAAAGAGATCCCACACAACGAGAAGCTGCTGTCACTTAAATATGAGGTAAAACTGCTGTTAACCAATTAGAATCCTGTGTTTCTGATAAGTCTTGAATAAGCTGGATTACACTTGGTTACTTTGATGTTTTCACAAGAAGTGAAAATGTCCTTTTTTGCCATCTTAAGGAAGAAACTAAAGACTGAGCCAGCTATAAAGATGCAACTGTTTGTAATGTTCTTAAGCAAAGTGGAACTGTCAGTACTTCAGGAGATATGCTTTGTATTGTCTTTGAAATTTTGTATATACATCTAAAAAATGCACACAAATTGGTCAGATTTTTGGATGTCAGTTTCTTTAAATAGATTATACAATTGAACCTAGCAGGAAGAGCTTTTGTGTGGGTGTTGTTTTTTCTTACAGATGTATTTGATTAAATGAAATGTATTCATCTGTCTGTTTCATTGTAGAGTCTGGATTATGACAACATTGAAAACCAGCTCTTTCTTGAAGAGGAGAGAAGAATGAGTCCCATGGTGAGTGGTGCAGGAATCTTTTGCAGAAATGGTAGTTTGCCTGGGCTCTGTATGAACTCCATTATTTTCTTTCTGTCTCGAGTCTTGTGTCTGGCTGCTTTATCCTGCATCACTTCTTGTCTTCTCATCTTGTGTTTTTAGGGTTTCCGCTGTTTGGAGATCAGTCGTTGGGTAATCTGCGGTCTGATTGGCATTCTAACGGGTCTCATCGCCTGTTTTATAGACATTATGGTGGAGAAACTGGCTGGGTACAAATATCAAGTTATTAAAGAGAGTATCCTTTAGACGTGTACAGCTTTTTAGTCCTATTTTTTAGTACCACGTAAATATGCAAGGCTTAAGGAACTTTAATTTTTCTCCAAATCACTCAAGTGATTTCTGGAAAAAAAGGACACTTCCTTGACTCTGAGCCTTCACAGACATTGAAAAGTTTACAGAGGTGGGTGGGCTGTCTATTTCTCTCATCCTCTGGGCCGTTCTCAACTGTGCCTTCGTCCTGGTGGGGGGCATCATGGTTGCGTTTTTTGAGGTAAGACAGAAAGCAAAAATATTCTTGACCTTTTCTGATTAGCCTAAATTTTGAATTGGAACCACTTCTTCCCCATTTGTGTGGTTTAATAATAACATTCCTCAAGTGCAAGAATGGGTTTTGGAGAAGTGTGACATAAAAGCTTTTGCTTTTTTTTTCCCTTTTTTGTTGCTCTGTTACATATTCCTTAGCTACAAGCAATTCAAATCGTTGTGGAAGTGAAGATTTTTGGTTAGTAATAGCATGTCTGTCAATGTCTGAGTCCTTCTTTGAAATACTGATAATTTAAGCTAAATGTGTTTCTGTTTTTGTGACAGTGCAGTTTATTAGCATGTGATGAGGCACTGTGTGTACCACGAGTCTTCACATGTATCTTTTCCTGTTCTTTCTCTTGTAGCCAATAGCAGCTGGAAGTGGTATTCCTCAGATAAAATGTTACCTAAATGGAGTCAAGATTCCCAGGGTGGTACGGCTCAAGGTACGTAAAATACCAGTAACTTAGAATAATGGCTACACTAGATCCACCTTTACATCTTTATGTCCCGTTGTTCTTCGTAGACGCTGGTGGTGAAAGTGATTGGCGTTATATGTTCAGTAGCTGGCGGTCTTGCTGTTGGAAAGGTAAACTATATTAAAATCCTTCATCTTTTTATAAACATACACTCAAACTGTGTTCTGAACACATTTGAAACACATTTTTAAAAAAGCTTTTAAAGCTGTCCTCTTGTTTGCCCACGATCGTCAGGAAGGTCCCATGATTCACTCTGGTGCTGTTGTAGCTGCGGGAGTCTCACAGGGCAGAAGCACCTCCTTAAAACGGGACTTCAAGGTAAGCGTGTGTTGAGATCCTGAACACTAACATGCTTGTGGGTCCTGTTGTGGGTTGTGTATATAGTTGGTGTGTCACATCGATTGACATTGTGATAAACTCCATATATCATAATATACTAAGTTTGTGTGTGTTTGACAATAGGAGTTGTTAATAATATGAAATATATGTGTGTTTGTGTAGATGTTTGAATACTTCCGGAGAGACACAGAAAAGAGGGACTTTGTTTCTGCTGGAGCTGCTGCTGGAGTTTCTGCTGCTTTTGGGGCACCAGTTGGTAAAAACACACAATCTGCTTTTGCTGTGTGTGAAGTTCAGCTGCTTTAAGCTCTACAACAGTATGATTATATATGCCCACACTAAAAGCAAACAAAAAATAATAGTTTGCATAATAAGATCTTTAGAAGTCTTAAATTTGATGCACTGGGATCTACAGAAACCCTCTGACATACTCTTATTAGTCTGTTGATAACTGCCTGCTGTGATTATAAAGCTGCCTTGTGCATGTTGATCAGGTTATCGTGTGAAGAGTGCTGCTGTGATCACGCTTGCTAACTCTGGATTCGTTTAAGGGTGTTATCACACCTGTAGTTTGTTTACTCTGAATCAGCTGAGTAAAAATTTGTAGATTAACCCTGTGGTTTGGTTTGTTTTCACACAGAAAAATCCAAGTGAACCGAAATGTGTCACTGGAAACCACATGAGAATGTTCAGTCCACTCATTTGCCAGATGTGTTAATAAAATAATAATAGGGTTAATAAAAGTTAAATACAAGAAGAAGGTGCTGTGTGAGAAAACCAGAAATTTATGTTTACTTAACAGCTAGCCGTTAACCCGTACAGACGTTTGCACATCTATAGCACCTTCTTGTGTTGAGAATACAAAGCACACAGGGCAACGGGACATTTTTAAGCTCAAACTTTAACATACACCTGGTAGTTGGCTTGGATCATGTTCACACCATAAACAAACAGACACTACCTCCTCCGAAGTGTGTTTTGTCACTTCTCCAAGTCACTTTTTCAGTCTAAAGGAAAAAACTAACAAAATGAATATATAAAAATGTAATGCTATTCTGGTTTCTAAACTCTCTTTCTGTGGTCGACAGGCGGAGTTTTGTTCTCTCTAGAGGAGGGAGCTTCTTTCTGGAACCAGATGCTCACATGGAGGATAGTAAGTCATGAAATGAGCATTAACCCCTATTAGTGAGCACAATATGTTGAATCAACAGCATTTCATCCAGAAGTCTAATAAATTGAACTGAATATCTTTACTGTCATTGTCGCTTAAACAACAAAATTAAAAAGTTGTCTAAAAGAGTGATTAAAACACAAGTGGATAAGTTTTAGTATTTCCTACATCTCCTAAATGCTTGCCCTCCTCCTCTGCAGTTCTTTGCCTCCATGATCTCCACCTTCACACTGAACTTCTTCCTCAGTATCTATCATGGAAAACCAGGAGACCTTTCCAATCCAGGTCTCATTAACTTTGGACGCTTTGAAAGTGATGTAAGAGACTTGCATTAAACCTAAACAGTGTGCTTTTTGAGGTCAATTAATTTTTGTGGTCAATGTAAAAGCACTGACTTTTGCCTCTTTTCAGAGTGTGGCCTATTACTACTACGAGATCCCTTTGTTCATGTGTATGGGAGCTTTAGGTAAAATCTTTTTGTTTTGTTTTTTAATTTCTACAAATATGCACAATTCTTCATGTGGTCCATTTTGGTATACACTATCAGCTACAACCTAAAACCAATGATGCCTAGAGGTGGCATTTCCTGCCACTAATCTTCCCTAGAAGCACAGTGCCCCCCAACACATAACATGAGCTGCTCAGGAATAGTTCACTGCATAATCAGAGACCCCAAACACTGAATAGGAATGAGAATCATCGTCTAATTCTTTACCAGTTCCGCATCAACTCATCAGTCACACTCATTTGCATCCAACCTTGCCAATTTCTTTGATCAATATTTTTCTTTTCTTCTTATTTTCCTGAGAGTTGCATATTGCAAATCGATCATCAGTCCTGCACCCAGTGGGTGTCACTTCTAAATGTTTCTCACACTGATGACAATACCACTGTTCTATTTCACTTACACTATCGCTCCTGTTTATTCATTTCAATAATTTGTTTCCGTTCCTGTCCTGTGCAGGTGGGTTGTTGGGAGCGCTCTTTAATTCAATCAACTACTGGCTGACTATCTTCAGGATCAGGTAAAGTTTAGATAGGACTCAAGCAAATGCAAACCAAACTGTCATTAACTCAGAAAGGAAATATTTCAGCAAAGGTTGTGAATAAAGAAGAGCATGTGTGTGCATTGTGCCAACAAAAACATCAGCTTGAAAATGTTGGTTGACACAGACAGGGTGGGGTGCGAGATGAGGTTTTTTAAGAGAAGACTTAAAATGGATTCTCGGAAGTTTGTGATTGACATGTGTAAAAATAGCCTCAGTATAAGAACAGGTACGATCACCGGGAGGCTGACTAATGTGGGAGACGACTCGTACTGAGAAGTGTTCCTGGCTTCCTGCTCTGGAGCTGGCTGATATAAATGTACTCAGATCTTAATATAATACAGTGTGTGTGTGTGTGTGTGTGTGTGTGTGTGTGTGTGTGTGTGTGTGTTTATCTGTCTTCCAACTACTCTTACTTGATCAGTTGAGGAATCAAATTTGGCACAATGGCTATAAATTAGTCACTAATAGTTTGCTAATGCTTATTCATTCTCAATCATAATCAAAACATTAAATCCAACTGTCATGACACCAGATTTTTAATAAATGAGTGTCAGTTTATTTACAATATTAATTGACAGGAAATGGGGAAACAGGTGGTCTGAGGATTTGATTTCATATCTGCAATTTTTATACTCTTTCCACGGTGGAAAGTCTGTATTAAGAGAAAGGGAGAGAGGAGGCATGCCCAATTTGGTCACGTCAGTCACACGGCTCTGTCTGTAAGCGCAGAAACCCGACCTACCTGCTGTTCCTTCTGTGTGCGAGAGTAACCAGTAAGACGAGAGATGACTTGTGGTGAGGAGCTAAAACTGCTTAATGGCTTGTTTCGAGGCTGTGAGTGCACTGAGGTTCTGCACAGGCCCAGTATAAGATAAATGAGGAAAATTTTGATATGCAACTCTTAACCCTCCAAATAAGCCTAATGGATCCTTTTTTTAAAAAAAACAACCAAAGAAAGAGACTTAATTGAAGCAGTCTGAAAACAAAACAAAGTTTATCTTTAATATTTCTTTAAGGATAAACTTGAAAATAAAATATTTGCCTGGCTGGACGGTCTTGTTTCTAAAAATAACTCCTCTGGTCTGAGTCTAAGGAAGTCTGTATTTCTGTGACATTTCTGAGCAGTAATTACACTCGACATTTCCAGTCACATGGCCTGAAGAGACATAAAGTCAAAGAAGCTTTGTTTCCCTCTCACCTGTTTTTATTGGACTAAGAGTGTTAGATTTTGTATTGTTGATTGTCATTTATGCTTAGAAATATCTACTTATATATGCTTAGAGTTTTGTAATTAGTTGTAGATTGGTAGAGGGTTTGATCCTTGATAGTCTGCAAACTTTGTGTGTATTAGAGAGCACTCTGGGAGCACGAGAGAGGTCGTACCTTGTCTTATTGTTTTAAGGTAGGATTAATGTAGCTACGTTTGTTTTAGTCTAAGTGCTTTTTGTTTAGATGAACTGCAGGACTTCCTCACCGTGTTATCTAGGGTGAGGCTACCCTCTTCCTGACCAAGGATGTTTGCTTGTTTGATCAGCGCAACACACACACACACACACACACACACGTACACACGGTACTCTTTGTTTGTATGTAGACGTCATATGTTAATGAACCTATGCATATTCATGTAGCCTCAATAAAAGGGCAGTGTTACGGGGGAGCGGTCGAGAGCGACTGGGGTCAAGCGAAGGAACGGCGTCTGTTCGGTTCTCTCCCGTGCACGAGGAACATGAAGAACTTTGCCTACTCGTGTCTTGCTTTGCTGTGTAATTATATTGTCTTCAACGTTCCAGCAGATAGGTTCAAGCTACAAACCTATCAAAGAGCTGCTTTTTTTTTTCATTTGGGAAAGTCCAAACTGAGAGATCAGCAATGTGTCAGCATTTTAGCCCAGAGCAATTTAGACATTGTACATGAAAATGTCTAAATTTAATGTGTCTGTGTGTTAGGTATGTGCATCGCCCATGTTTGCAAGTGATAGAGGCCTTGTTGGTGGCTGCTGTGACCGCAGCAGTGTCATTCACCATGATTTATTTTTCCAACGACTGTCAGCCTCTGGGGCCCGAACACAATGAGGAGTACCCACTGCAGGTACACCCACATTTGTTTCCACTTGACTGAAAACACTCTCTCGCTGCTTTTTTCGATTTAGATGATGATGCATAATAACACTAAATATGGGTCACAGTGTTACAGCAGAGCCGGGCAGGATTCGTTTTAAGATGGACGGGGAGATGGTGAAATGTGTGACAAAGCAAATTCAGACCAGCACGTGCAGATTTGTAGAGGACCCTGCTCATAATGATCCTTGGCACTTCCTACTTTTTAACCTCACAGTAAAGTTTCATTTCAATAAAGTTTACCAGCATGGCGTAAAAACGGTACTTTAAAGGGATCTAAGGGGATGCAGGATGTTTCTCTCATAGAGTGCAACATTTTAAGAATTTATGTATTACCATGAAAATTGGTTGAGACATTCAGATGTCTCTTTTATATTCAATCATTCCCATGTTTGCTGCTAATTAGAAAACAGAATGTCCGGGAACAGTTTTGGTTCAGTGCACTGTGACTGAGACTAGCTGTAGATTATAAGCTCAGATGATGGAAGCAATACCAGATTTAAATGTTATAATAGTTTATGCTATCATGTTTGTATTTAGGCACTGTGGACATCCAATTCCTAATAAAATCAGACGTGATAAGCAGTTTTTCTGTTTCTGTCTTAAGCCCTTCATTTTGTGGCTCTTGAGTATTTTGTGCCATGCATCATTTTTCTGTCTCTATTTAGTTGTTTTGTGCAGATGGCGAGTATAATGCCATGGCTACAGCATTTTTTAACACTCCTGAGAGAAGCGTTCGTAGTCTCTTCCACAATCAGCCGGGTAAGATGGTGCACTATTGTAGTGACTTTGTTTAAACCATTACACTCTCACTAATTACTTTCTTTGTTTGTGTTTTAAAGGAAGTTACAACCCTATGACACTGGGTTTGTTTACTCTGACCTATTTCTTCCTGGCGTGTTGGACATACGGCCTGGCAGTGTCTGCTGGTGTCTTCATCCCGTCTCTTCTAATAGGAGCAGCTTGGGGGAGGCTGTGTGGGATACTGCTTGCCTCTTTCACTCCCACTAGCCCGGTTGGTGCTCCTCACAGTGACATTTGTTTTAGTTCCCATTTTGAAAACTAGCTACATTTAATGGAGCTGACCCAACAAGTTAACATGACCGGTATCATGGTCAGTATTAGCAAAGCAGTGGAAGAAAATAGTCTTTATTTAAAAAAAAAAAAAGAGAACTTTTAGTTACTTCACAAACCTTCCTACTAAACTTGCTAGCATTATTGTGTTATTAAAAATATGGGATAGGGAAATAGGTGTTATCTGAAACATGTTAAATGCATATTTTTATTAATTAATTTGTCTAGATTATTGTTACATTAAGCTAATATGCCAATTAACATGTGTTAAAGACTTTGCTCCATGTATTTTCATAGATTTGGGCTGATCCTGGTAAATATGCTTTGATTGGAGCTGCAGCACAGTTAGGTGAGTAACTGTAATTTTATGTATGTTGTTGTAAATATTTAAATTTGTTCTACAATGTGCTGCATACTTCCTCCTCTCTGCAGGTGGCATTGTAAGAATGACTCTCAGTTTGACTGTCATCATGGTGGAGGCAACTGGAAACGTCACGTACGGCCTTCCCATAATGCTCGTTCTCATGATTGCCAAAATAGTGGGAGACTACTTTCAGGAGGTGAGTGAAGTCACAGACACAACCTACTCCACACTGCTGAAGTTAGTCCAGTGTAGGGTGATCAGATCCCAGTATAATAAATGCTACTGTATTTTATCTGAATGCAAGTGCTTAGTAAATGCATTTAGCGTAAATTTCAATTTCATTTAATACATTAGTCTTTTGTAAACCTATATTTTCCTTTTCTGTTGAGAGGAGATAAAAAATAAAGTTTATTTTGTTTGTCTGACAGCAGACACTTTGTCCTAACCTGCTGGAATAATTGGAGATTTATCTGAACGTCACGACCACGCCTCAGACACTTACCTTCTGGTTCCATACCTATACATTGGTTCCTGCACTGTAGGCTTTTTGTTCTCATTTTCGTGCCCAACCCTCCCCCCGCTTTTCTCAGTTCTTACACGACTCATTTGTACCCGGGGGTTTGGTCGGCCTGGAAGTCCTCACTGAGGCCTTCCACAAAACCTCAGTCTCAGGCTTAGAGAGTAGAGTCCAACCACTGTAACCTTTCAAGAAACCTTGCGGATTGAATTGAGGATGTTGTCCTTGCTGGTGAAATTGCAGTTGGATCTACTGTGTACAGTTTATGATAGGAAAGTACGGCACAGACAGCATCTCTAACCACTCTTATTTTCCTGCTTTAGGGTTTATACGACATTCACATCAAGTTGCAGAGTGTTCCCTTCCTGCACTGGGAGGCTCCTGCCACCTCCCACTGGCTGACTGCCAGGTAGGATGGATGGATGAACTTGTGTTTGTTTTTCTCACTGTTTCTTTTATTTTATAATCAGTACTTGTACTCTTGTTGTTCACCTTCTTATCACCATTGTCCTCCTCGCTGTCCAGAGAGGTGATGAGTTCTCCAGTCACCTGCTTCAACAGGATAGAGAAGGTGGGAACAATCGTGGACGTCCTTAGCAACACATCAACAAATCACAATGGCTTCCCTGTTGTCGTGCAGGTTTTGGATAGTGATGAGGTAACTGTTTGAATGGGGGTTTTTTTTCTGTTGAAAGTTTGTGTTTGAGGTGTTAAAGGGTTGCTCGCTGCTAAGTAGTTGGTTTTGTTTCTTAACAAAAGGTTGTGTTAAGGTGTTTGTAGTCAAATCCGTGGAAAGCGTTGTTTTTGTGTCTCTTTGTGTCAATTTTTGGCACCACTTTAGCAAAGTACATAAGATACTTTAAGAGCAGATTGGAGTTGACGCAGGAGAAAAATGTGAGACATGTTGCCCTGCAGTGTAAGAGATTATTAACACCTTCCTCTTCACTCAGCCAGCAAAACTCTGCGGTCTCATCCTGCGCTCTCAGCTGATTGTTCTTCTCAAACACAAGGTAACAGCTGATCTGAGATCTGATACGAGAGCCTGTAAAACCTGATTGCAGTTAGGCCAGTTTGCACTGTCTTCTTTCCTGCCAGGTGTTTGTGGAGTTGGCCCGGTCCCGGCTGTCTCAGAGGAAGCTCCAGCTGAAAGACTTCAGGGACGCCTACCCCCGCTTTCCCCCAATCCAAAGCATCCACGTCTCCCAGGACGAGAGAGAATGCATGATGGACCTCACTGAGTTTATGAATCCAACACCTTACACTGTACCACAGGTAACAGATGCAGTAACTGCAGTTGTGCAAGCACCAACAAATTTGATTAGACTTGTAAGTTGAGACTGCTGCTGCAAAATGTTAAATTTGTGGGTTTACAGTTTTCTTTTCATTCTTTCATTAAAATGCTTTTCAGGATGGTTTTTGATGTTTTGTTTGAATGAAGTCAAACTAGGGCTGCTCGATTATGGCAAAAATGATCATCATGATTATTTTCACTGAAATTGAGATGTCGATTATTTGATGATATTTATTTAACAATAACAATGTATTGAATAATGGCTTTAAAGATTGTCAAAACAAATAATATAAAATAGTGTGCAAATACTGATAACTGTGCAAATGTTTGCAATATAAAAAATAAATGAAAAATGTAAACATCTATGTTTAGTGAACTTCAAAATACTGCATAATATTTATGCATACAAATGACCAAACATCAAGGCAAGCTGTGTAGCCACACAATGCACAATTGTATCAAACTGACATTGAGGTATGTCAACTAAAGTTGCTGCTTGAACACAAATAAAATAAAACATTGAAAGTACAATACAACTTTATTTGTATAGCACATTTAAAAGACCAGTGGTACACCAAAGTGCTTTACAATAAAAACAGGAAAATTAAGACAATAAATAAAAGACTATTAACAAAGTACCACATATGTCATTAGGTTAAGGGCACTAATTATACAACAATAAAAGGGAATATAAGAACAAAGTTACTAAGAACAGATATAGCTAAAAGATAAAGTACATAAATAAGAAATTGAACCAAATTTAAAATAGGGACACTAACTTACTAAAAGTAGTAACTTTTTTAAGAAATAAATAAAAACTAGTAGGCCCAAGTCCCATACAATCTCAAAACGGCTCAACAAAACATGGTTCCTGCAACCTCTCAAAGGTTTTTAGCCAAAAACGCCAGCCTATTGACATGATCAGGCTTCAGGGATGCACGCAGGCACTTGACAACATTTCCACCAGTGCTGAAGACTTTTTCTGATGAGGCACTTGTGGCTGGGATGCAAAAATATCCTCTCCTCTCCAAATAACTTCTGCTTAGCTTTCCGAGCTTCCCTCGGGTCCTCTTAATTGTTGTGACGCGTGTTCGAAACGCAGAGAGGTGCGCTCGATTTGCCACACGGAGCAGCGCAAGAGTAAAGCACGAGGGAGGTGCTAATAATCGGCTCAGTCATTTTTAATGATCGTTGAAAGCCCAGATCGTAATTTAGATTAAAATTCGATTAATTGAGCAGCCCTGAGTCAAACTTTAACAAATCGTTCTGTCTGCAGGATACATCACTCCCCCGTGTGTTTAAGCTGTTCAGAGCCCTGGGACTGAGACACCTGGTGGTGGCAGATGATGTGAACAGGGTAAGACGGTGTGTTTATGTTTCAGTGTAAAGGATTTTTGTTTGGTTGTATTTCCCCACATACTTCACATTTATTTTGCTATGATGATTGTCCTGATTAGTTTTTTTTTTTTTTCTTTGGTTTGTCACCTCCTGCAGGTGATTGGACTGGTGACAAGGAAGGACTTGGCCAGATATCATCTGGGCAAACATGGGCTGGAGGAGCTGCAGCTTGCCCAGACATAGTGTGCCCACATACACACGCCCATAGACTGACCACATGTTGCCTCAGAAGCTGTTGACCATCCGTTTGGCAGCCCAGAAGGACGCCTTCAAGGGCCAAAGATCTCTTTTTTGAATAATTCTAAAAAACATCCACCCCTCTGTTAACGCTGAGTGACGGCATTTTCTCCTAAAGGATTCAAATGAATAGTTTTTCCAGGATAATTCCAGGAGCTGTATTTTATTTAATAATTCACCAGATTTTTGCGCTGAGGCAACAAATGATGCTTGACTTTCTTGTCTTTTATTCTTAATCGTTTTGGTTGTTTAGTTGTTTTTCTCACACTTTTACAGAGTTTTACACACACACACACACACACACACACACACACACACACACACACACACGCGCGTCTGTGGCCCCAAATAAAGTTGGACTGGATCAGTTAGAATGAAAATCAATTTGCTTATATTCTAAACAAATCTGTTTAATTTTTGTTAACTTGGAAAATATTTTGCGTTGTTAGCCACAGCATTTAAACCAGTGACGGATGAAGTGAATCACTCATCTCAGCAGCGTTGTGCTGGGAAACACTGTTGCAGACTGAGCATGCTCCCTCATTGTAACAGACTACATGGAAAAAATACTTATGAGCAGCACGATAAATAACCCGAGGTGTTGACCCAGCCTCCAAACTTCCAAGTTTTTAATCCAGTCAAGGATCCGTGGAACCCATCGGATCACCCCTGAGAACCCACTCCCCAACCATCAGCTCCCAAAGGATTTTCCTAGTGCATTTCTACTGTTGTTAGTCCCATTCTGCCTCCCTACTTTCATAAACTGTTAAATGTTAGTTCCTTCATGAGGCGGTGTAGCTGGATGCTGTGGAAATGCAGGTGTACAGGATGGTAACTTGCTTCAGATTGTGTGAGACGGGTCTTTTATATTCCTGCTGCTGCGCTACAGGATACTTTGAAGTGTTTTGCTTAGAAAATCTGATTGAGTTGTCGTGTTCAAGAGCTGGTTTAAAGCACAGCTACCGACCACTGAAGGTTTGCAATGATATCTGTGTTTGTGTAGTTTTGCACTGAAAGACTGCTGTTATTTATTGTACTACTTAGATTGGTATTCAAAGGTACTTTTTCCACCTTTGAAGGTTTGCACTTTGACCTGCTACTGAAGACTTCCCACGAGTGTCCCTATTGGAGCTCTGTATGAATGTAAACAATAGTGTGCCACATATCTTCTTTGCTACCCTGACAACACATTTTTCTTATTGATTGTAATCGTGTCTGTTTGTATTTCTAACACTTCAGTCAGCAGTGTTGTCGATTTCTTTGGGCTTTTATTGTTTTTACCCTTCCAGATGTAAACATTCAAATGTTGCTCTATTTTATGGATAAACCTTTTTGTGAATGAATAAAGTTTTAACTATTATCATACAACTCTTTTGTACATTTAAGAATGAGTCCAGGCACTTTTCTCTTCGAGCTCCGTAGACCAGTGGTTTTCAACTACTGTGCCATAGTAGTACACCAGTGTGCCATCGCAAATTATTTCACTTCAATTAATTGGCCCAAAAGATACATTTTAATAATTACTGCCAATAACCATTGTTGGGCATCTGTGCTTTCACTGCAGTGACTTGTAGTAATTACCACCCACCTGACATGAACGAGTAATTACTAGTCAACTGTTTGCACAAAATACTAGTCCTTAGTTTAGTTCTGTATTATATAAGATGTCCGTCCCAGTCTAAGAGGATCAAATTTCTACGAATGTTTGTCACAGGATCCCAGACACAGAACAGCAGCACATAAACCCTCTGTCCCAAAAATGGACATCAGGGAAGAGCTGGGTCGTATTTGGGAAAGAACGAAGTCAGAAAGGGTGCCTTGCACTCTTGAAGATGTGTTTGTTAATATTTTGGGGGAAACATCCAACCCTCCCACTCCCTTTTCGCCACCTCCTCCTCCTGCTTTCCCTGCTGGACCAGCTGCCCTGCCTCACCCAGCAGCAGGCAGCGTAGAGGATCTGTTACCTACACCCTCCTGGGATCCGCTCCACTTCTGTCTGAGCACCAACGTTCATGTATAGTTGCTCCAATCACCATGCAGCCATCTCATATGTACAGTCAGCCAGGCACAGCTAGCCAAGGACAGGTGAGACACTCAGACAGTTGTCGTTAGATTTTTATTGATAAAGGTGCTTGAACCTGTTGGATGCTTCAGGCTAATGAAAGAAAAACAGTTTAGTTTGCATGTTTCTGTGCTGTTTATCATTATTAGTCTTTGAAATGCTGGACTAAGTGTCAGTATTATGGATTTTTGTCCTTCTCCATCTCTCCACACAATCTACTGTATCCGTTGCCTGTAAAGAACATCCCATCGGCAACAACAGCAGCTGTTCTTCCAGCTCCTCCACCCCACAGCTGCGCTCCAAAGTCAGTTTCTCTGCTACGTTTTCTCACTGATCTGCAGGTATCCATCATTTATCTGCAGATGTGTGTGTGTGAATTATTAAAATCAGCCTCCTTTAATGGTGTCGCCTTACATTCAGTTTCACAGTGTTACTCATGTTTTTAAAGTACTTTCCTCACAGTTGTACACGGTGGTAACACATGCTCTCACTCTGGGTTTTATTCCTGTTGAAGCAGCAAGCATCAAACCAAACAGGGTATAGACCAGGCTTACATTAAGAAGCCCCCAAATGCCTTCATGCTGTACCTTAAAGAGCAGAGGCCAAAGGTCAAAGCAGAGCTAAATATCAGTGACAGTGCAGCTGTGAATGCAGCTGTGGGAGAGAGAGTAAGTGTGTAACTCTGAATATATTTATGCATCTGTTAATGTGCATGTGTACCAGCTGTCCTGTAGTCATGTGTAGTAGCAGTGTGGCTGTGTATACGAGCTGACAGTGTGTTCTTGTGATCTTCTATTCACAGTGGAAGTCGCTCTCAAAGGAGGATCAGAAAATAGATTTTTCTGAATCAGTGTGAAGCTGTCTCCTTGCCCACTCAGCCTCAGTGTCATTCCTCTCACCAGGTAACCTCTTCAAGAAAATCAGACCAACCCTTCTTCTCATGAATTCATCTGCATTATTGGCCTCCTCTGCTGCACCCAATGCACTCCAGACAGAGGCCACCCTCTTCGGGAACATTGAAGAAGATTCTCTATCAATGCTTGAACGTCTTGATCTCCTCCCGGTTACTCCACAATCTCAGCAGCCCTTCTCTTGTCATTCAGATCGTGTTTATGGGGAGTCAGTTAAATTTAGATTTAACTGGCCTTTCTTTAGCACTGCACTTTATAAACTTATGTTACTGAACTGTGTTATCATTTCTGTAAATAAATAAAAAAACAACAAAAGAGGCTTCTTTCAGTTTGTACAGCAGGATGGGAGGGTATAGAAGAACTTGTTCATTACTGATCCTTTGAAGTGGCCCCGCAAAACAGTTTTTTTTTTTTACATTTTCAAACATATACCACACATCTGTCTGTGTCCACTAGGTGTAAGGGAAAAGCTAGATATAAACTAGCTTAAGTCTCAGGCAGTCAGAGGTGTTACTGTTAGGTGGAGCTGCCCCTCACATAAACGCTTTGCAACTATTTTCACTAAAACCTTTTTTTCCCAACTGAGCATATTTGTGAAAGTTAAATGTAATGCAATCAAAGTTCATTTCCATGTGAGCATTGCTAGACACTGATAACAAAAACATAGTGCCAAGTACGTTGCAAGAGCCAAACATCACAAGTGTCCTTAGAAAATCTGGACTGATGACATCTCATAAAGCTGAGAACTGTGAGAAAGATCAGGTAACAAGAAAGATAAAGGTCCAGTCCAACCATCTTCCTGCAGAATCCCTGACTCACTTCCTCCCAGGCTGTGCCTTTATATTTACTTATTTAGGATTTCCATTAGTTGCAACTGATAATAACCATCATTTTCTGTTATTTCAGACACATTGATTGGAATTTGTTTTTTTTAACTTGATGGACAATTGTGTTGGACTAAAAAGAAGGAAGTTTTTAATTACCTCAGCAGCAATTTGTTGGGATACCTTGGGTCCTGGGTCTCATGTGCTTCTAATATTGACATGGACCACCTACCCAAACACTGCTGCAGACCGAGCAAACTCCCAAATACTGACAAATACTGACAGTCCCCAACTACATGCAAAACATACTCATGAGCTGCTCGAGCAACATGACTGAAAACTAAGATGTTGATCCAGCCTCCAAACTTCCAAGATTGAAAGCCAGTCCAGGATCCGTGGAATGCACCAGAACGAGCCTGATCCACTGAGGACGCCACAGCTCGGGGTGTAAGGGCATTTGTGTCACAACACGGTTTTTCACTGATTGAAATTGTGTTGGTTTGCAAATCTAACAATTCAGTCCGCAGTGCTGTTGTTTTTACACTTCTAGATTTCATCTATTACACAACTCTTCATTATATTTGATCAGCAGGATCCAAACATGAAGTGAGGGGGAAAAAACACATCAGGCAGCCAGGTACTTTATTCATTTTATTGGCATGTTCAAACCCTGCTTCTTAATCAAAGTCATAAATATAGCTGATCCCAAGTTTTTAATCATATATACCAGTTTGAAATTCAAATGTTGTTTGTGGTACTTGATGGGATTTTAAGGGGGAAAATCCCCCCAAAATTGTAGAATAATAGTGTGAAAAATAGAAATTTTTCATGCCATTATTAGAAATAGTGGACAGATGAACTTTGTACACCACATCAGTGCTCTGTACACTCACTGGCCACTTTGTTAGATACACCTTGCTAGTACCAGATTGGGCCCATTTTTGCTTGCAAAGCATTAAAATGCTCAGTTTGCATTTCAGCAGGTCTTTCTGTCCATGTTGACGTGCCTAAATGCACTGGGTTGCTGACATGCGATTGGCTGATCCCATATTTGCATTAATGAGCAGCTGAATGGGTGTACCTAACAAAGTGGCAAGTGAGGGTATTTGTACTGGACTAAAACAGACATAAAGCTGTAAAACTGCCCACAAACATTAAAGTCCTGGGTAGGATGCTGAGTAGTGTTTACAGATACAGTATGTTTCATGTGGGACTTCATGAGTGCTTTGTATCATAAATAACCAATCACACGAATTTAAAAACAGTTTTTTTCTGGGAGAAACTAACATCTGCTTTTGTAGTTCAGAAAAAGGCCAATTTCTTATAATGTTGGCACATTAAAATTAAAAAAGCAACAAGGAACTCTTATTAACTTGACCTTGAGCAAGGCACTTGTTTCGCAGCTTGCAGTGGGTATAGTGTGGACATTCCAGTAGTGCAGCATAAACTATGTTCACACATGCCTTTTTGT